CTGGAGACAATACTACCACTCCCACTTCAGTCTTTCACTTTATTGTGGATGTGAAACAAACCTAAAAAAAATTCCTCATGATAATGCTTGCAGATAATGCTTCTGCTTTTTTTTCTACTGAATTCCTCAGTCTGAAAGTATTAAATGGATGAATCAGCAGGCTACATCATTCTCAAAAACCGATCTCACGGAACTAATGGGAAAATGATGCAGTCAAATTGTGTAAATTTTTGAAGTGTCAAAGATGGATGCTTAACAAATTATTCACCAACGTGATTGGCTTGCCTTTACACACTTATCACAAGAAAGTTCAGCAAATACGTACATCTCTATTTAAATCACACATGACATGTAACTAGAGATAAGGGGGCTGGTGTTGCTTCACTGCCTTATTTGATAACTGTGTGCCAATAAATGTAATAATTCCTAGTGAAATCATTTGTTAACCATCAACACAACATAACAGTTTGTGTCACAGTGTCACTCCTATCATCCTCTGCTAAAGTTAACAGACCCATTAACATTAAACACAAATCACTTATCTTAATATTTGCTGAAAAGGTTCCTACAAAAAATGTCACTAATAGTCGAGGAGACATGTTTGTAAAACTTAAAAGTGAGATGAATAAAGCAGATTAACATATTAGCATCGCAAAATGCTAACATCAGCTATAACTATGCTAGCATCGGCTTCGGCAATGCTAGCATCAATTACTAATATGGCATGTCTTTATTTTCTGCCTCAGAAGTTGTAACTTAGAAATGATCAGCATGGTACTGTTCCAGTGGGATCGTTAATTCTTGTGCTCAGCGACCAGGACCTGTAGCTCCAGGACTAAAATAGTCTTTCAATCGGTAAGTTGCCCATTGCAGTTGTGCATCTGCATGTAGTGTAATGCACTTTGAGGAGCCAATATGACTATAAACATAAAGTAGGAGTTTTATTAGGTATTTTTCAGCTTTGGAAATTTTGATGTCTAAATGCAAGAACAACAAGCCTTTCATCAAATAAAATGCTGCAAAAACATGGTGTGTACAATTATTTTGCTTCCAGATAGGTATAAAACAAAGCAAAAAACAAGAAGAAAGATAGCGTGTTGAGGTAAAGACTCCTTCATATGTTTGTAACTAGGCTATAAACACAAATATTAAAATAAGTGAAATTACCAAATGATTTCCTTTTTTTTATTTAGGATTTTGGAAAACAAATTTTTGTTGGAAACATTTCCTTATCTTGCACTCTTCTAACACAATCCTGTTTGTTCAGCAAAAACTACGACAACAGAAAAGTTGGTCCTTCCCAGCTTTAAACAATAGTCATAGTGTAACATACTCCTACTCCAAGGAAAATGTTTTTATGAAGGTCTGCCATAGAGTTATTTAGTTATACCTGCATCGCACAAATGATCTCCTGGTCTAACAACAGCTGTGGTTACTAATAAACCTGTCAAAGCTGTAGAAAATGTTATGCATTTAGCACAAACATTTGTGGTTTAACTGATTTTGTATGAAACCACAAAATCAATGTAGTTTGTAATAGAGTTGCAAAATATATCGCATTATTATTGCAACATTGTTGTGTGCATCTCATATCCACTGGAATCCAAGGATTCCAGTGGATCCTTGGATGCAATATTTGGAAAGCTTATACCTTTAAGCACCATGCAGTTGGTCGGTTTGATGCCCCCACTTGCTGCTGGTTTAAAAAGGTGGTATTATGTAACACTGAGTTTTTTGAGCTTCACATCATGTTTTAATTTTATGCCGTCATTAAAAACATACCTGGAGTGTTGCTTTGATTCTTTCATGCATGTTTGAGAAATCTTTTAATCTCCAGTGGTAACCACTCAGTTGCAGTTTCCAAGCTTCCACCGCAATTCAGCTCCTTCAGACTAGCCAACTGCAATTTGTAATCACCTGGTGGAACTGCACAACTGGTGTGCTCATTTTATGAGCTACTTCTCCGTGCAAAAAATGTTGCTAGAAGGTTGCAAGAAGAGTGATGTTATGACTACCTGAAGGTGGAGTTTAACAAACAGCAGGATTTTTAAAGAGTTACAGGCCCAAATTCAAGGTGTTAAACTTGAAGTAAAAGTTCTTTAATATATACAGCATTTTTATAAGAACTGAAGTGAACATAGTTACATGATTGTGTTACAAAAGGCACTATGTGATTGAAAAATACATAATATTGACCCTTTAAAGCTCTTGGATTTTGGAGGGATAATCATGATAATGCAAAAGAAAGAAATTAGTGATCCAATTTCAGCCCTTATGAAGCAAAGACTCTCTCAGGAGACAGCTGATAGGAATAATTCATGCGTGCGTCCTGCTTTGAGAGGAGATGTTCAGCCCAGATGGACATGTTTTGGAGCTGTAATTAGGCGCCAGCTTGTACCTGCTTGCAACTGCCCCAGGCAACAACAACATCACCTGCCATGAACCGAACCAGAAAGGAAGTCTTCTTTAGCTAGTCTCTTATCAACAGGAAGAGACTCTTTTTTTTCTTTTCTTAGATTCTGTATCTCATGGGGCTTTCTCACATTCTCAACTCCCCAGAGTGTCAATAGCTGGTGCTGCCTCTTTAACTTTATTCAATCAGCAACTCATGTCTCATGGCTGGAGTGGTACTAGGGTAAACTGGGCATTTTTCCTTGAGGTCTTTGTTTTTGATAACGACTTAATGAAGTACTATCCATCCATCCATTGTCTATACAAGCCTATTCTTGCAGCGTTATGAGCGGTTTTGGTGCCTATCTCTCCAGCCATCACTGGGCGAGAGACTGGCTACACCCTGGACTAATAAAACAATTAGTTGAAATTAAAATTGTACATGCACTGTCATATAAAATAATTCTGTTTATAAAAATACCTAAATAATATCCTGACAGCACAGTGGACAAATGTAAATATGTAAGAGAAAGAATTCCCCCCAGCCCTCTAACGTTCTAATGTTAAAAAAAAAAGTATATATAATGTATCACATAATCTAAGCTGACCCGGAATGCTTCTTTTAGAATGCAAGTGTCAGATGTTTTATTTTGGAGGAAGTGAATGGAAAATGTTTCTTTGCCATTTCAGAATTTACAAAAGTAGGCTGGAGGAATTTTTATGACCCAACACGTAAACTATCTAAACCATAAAATGCTTCTGTAAAGGTGGCATTTCAGTTATGATTTAGAAGAGCAATCCAACCCAACTTCCCAATCTGGCAACAATGGCTTCTATGAGATTTGTTAATATTATAAACATATTGATTATTACAGTTATTTACCATCTCCCATGCAACCTCTGAAGAAGTACGCATTGACAACGGATGGATGAATTATTACAGTTTCAATAATATTACCTATAATGTATATTTACTATTATTTTCCTATTTTTTTTAAAAACAGACATAACTGTAAATGCAGAAAAAACTGCTGGTAAATGTAGTAATGTGGTAGTTTTCAAATGTTCCTTTGCTTTGCTCCTTATAGAACAACACAAGCATAACAAGCTACGTCAGCTGGTTAGCTAGTTAATTAGGCCCTCTGCTCAGATTCACTGAACTTATAGCTTGCTGAAAATGTAGTTTCAAACACCAAGTAACGGTTGGCACAACTTCACATTCTATGCAATGCAAAGCTTTCGAAATATTTCCAAACATACAATTTGACGTTTGTTGTAAGTGAGGTGAAAGTGAGGCAACTTTCTTTCAGTCAGCTGACCTGCAGTGCACAGCGAACCAGTGATGGTGCAGCACACAAACTCAAAACTTTGATCACCCTGGAGCTTTCTCTGGCAGCTTATTAAAAGGACAAAAGTTGTCAGCCTCACGATGCCTTGGATATGGAAAGTGACCCACGTCGAACTCAGACCAAGCTGCTTCTTTTCCCTTCATGTTCACTCAAGACTAATATTTCATACATAAAAAGGTTTTAAACAGAAACTTGAATAATTGATATTGTATTAGAGTTTTAGGCCCGTTAATACCTTTTGTTTTACTTCTCTCTTTGGTTGGAGAAAAGTCTGACAACGCTCTACAACATCTTATCAAAGTCACTTTAAACCGCAGGAAGAATCGCAGGAGGAAATATTTGAGGATTTTATGGTCAATTTTAAAATCCTTGTTACACTAAGAAGAGCGAAACCAGCTCATGCCATAAAAGACATCCAGTCCAGCTGACCCAGATGTTTTACTTTCTCCAGTTCTTCTTTTCAGATATGAAGTATGTGGCTCATTAGCCCACAGCATGCCTACTCTGTTTTATTTAACAGTTGAAAATAGTGATTTCTGCACTATATGTATAGTTGCATCATTTGAACTTTTTTTTTTTTTTTGCTTTTCTGTTTAAGACATTGGGGGAAACACACCGGCTCAAAGTCCCAGCTGCATTACTGCAACACCTTAGTCACAATCATGATGTAACTCTGGCACTTCTGCGGCTCTGTAACTTACTTAGACTTTCTAAGTGATGTAGAAAGGCATCTAAACTGAACTGAACATGTAAAGAGGCAAAGTGAAATCAAGTCAGCCGATGAGAACACAGAACTGAAACTGGAGTGGTTTCTAGTTTAGTCTGTGTCTAAAAATAAGCGGCTCACGCAGCTGAGCACAAATGCTGGAAATGAATTGAGAGCCCCTCACCTGTCCCCCCCCCCCCACCCATCATCTCCACCCCCCCGTCCCGTTATTGAGTTCATAAATGTGGGGAAATGATCAGGAGTTGGAGCTGTCACCTGCCCTATCAGATCATAAAAGTTTACATCTCATTTGTATGCAGACACTTCTGGACCTTAGAGTTCCTCTTTTGGGATTCAGCGTCCTCTCAGTAAAAAAAAAAAAAAAAAAAAAAAAAAAAAAGAAGAAAAAAAGTTCTTCAAATCAACAGCACATTATATTCCAATATAATAATAATATTTTCGCCGATGGTTTAAATCTTCCACTCTGCAGTCGGTCGCTTTAGCTTCCTCTTTTTTCCCCCCCACACACAAGCAAAACCCAGCAGAGCTCTTACCTGCTTTTAATGAGTCTGTTGGAAACGCGGGCTGTCTGTCTGTCTGTCTGTCTGTCTCTATGCTCGGCGGGGATCTTCTGGGCTCAGACGATGACGGCCGTCGAGAAGGTTCTTCATTCCTCGCGTGCGGCGTCCATTTCTCCCGAACCCGCTCGCGGGGTCGGCGCTGCAGATGTGAACGGGGCGGCGGAGCGGCGGCACACTGGACTTGAAGGAGGAAGTTTGAGCTGTGCGCATCAAGCTGCTGTGAAGAGGAACAAGCAACACGTCAGCCCCTGCTCTTGGTTTCACTGGCTGAACACACCACAGCTGAGGCTTCCTTCTTTTTCTTCTTCTTCTTTTTTTTTTTTTTTTTTTTTTTTGGAGGGGGGGGGGGGGGGGCAGTTTTTTTTCGGTTACCCCGGTAGTCTACTAAAGGAGGAAAACCGTGAAAACCGAACGCAGGTTCTGCCCCGATTCGGGATTTATTTCAGACGCACTTTGAGTTGGGAGGTTCGCTGGAAGGACGCACACCTGAATGGCTTCACAGATGTGAGAGGCGCATTTGCATGGCGTGCAGGGAAGCTCTAACAGGTATTCAAATAATAGTTTGACAGCTATCATGCCGAGGGAGGCCAGGCAGAAACAAGGGTGGGAGGGGGCTGAAGGGGGGATGGATGGCTCGGCGTTGACAAACAGACACAAGATGTAATCCTTAATCAAGAATCAGGATTAGAAGCAAAGTTGTCTCGAAAGCGGGGCGAGAATGGGACAGACAGGAGTAAAAAACCAGGGAACTAATGCTGGGTATTAAAACACAACCTGAGCTCACGCAGAGATGTTCTGTTCATTGTACAATCTAACCTCAGGGAGAAATAGCTTCCTCTTTTATCAGACAAACAGAGCCAGGGTTATTTTAATAATTACACAAGAAGCGACCCACAGCAGTGCTGGACCTATTGGATGATTCACAATGAAACACAAGGAGTTTGCGTGCGCCAGATCTGATTCTTCCTCGGACAAAGAGTCGCAGTGTCCTGAGCCCCTATTCCTGCATTCTGTCGATATTTTACATAATCCCAGCCCATTGCCTAATCCTTTGATCCTGTTGGATTTCCGTGTCATGTGGATTATTATTTTTAAGTTACAAGTGGGATTTTTCCCATTGGTTCTTGAGACTTAATTGACCTTAAACGTCTCACTTCCTTTTTCAAGGAACAAGTGGTCAAAGAGTGACACAAGTTCAGGCTGGTGTGAAAAAAAACCCAAAAGCATCTTTCTGGACTAAATTTGACTAATTCTTACAATTAGCAAGGAGCAGAAGGAGTGTTTCTTGCTAATAGTTGCCAAAAGCCTCTTCGCTCTGAAAGGGAAGGCGCTGCAGGGTGCAAGTTTGCAAAGTTATATTTAGTGGAATCACAAGACTTCTGGAACAGCGTCCTTCGACAAACAAGACAAACGTAGAGATGTTGCACAGCACTCTCTCTGGAGAACGGACAAAAACTTCACATTGGCACGAACACATGGAAGCAACTGTCAAGCAGGGTGGTGGAGGAGTGATGATTTGTGTGTGGACACCTTGCAGGCACAAGGACAAAGATTTCCTGTTTACCATGATGTGCCAAAGGCAAATGTGAGGCCATTTACAGCCTTGTAAATAAATGAGCAACTTCAAAAAGATTGACCCAGTCAAAGTCTTGATGTGATGCTGTTTCGCTGTTTTGGACCTTGAGAACGAAGAGTGTAAATGAATGCCTGAAAACCTTAAAGAAGTCGGTCAATGTTCCAGAGCAGAACAGGCCAAAATTAATTTAAAAAACAGAGTGAATAGATCAACCCTAAATATTGATCATTTGGATGCAAAATCTTTATCAGTATCTGATTAATACTTGTTTCAGATTCCCTCTTGAAGGTTTATTTTGTTTTTCTATTGTAGTTTTTCAGTGTTACTCAAAAAAGATTTTGTATTAATTTGCTCTCATATATGCCTTGTTTTTCAATTGTGTCATTTTAACATGTTCTCAAGGATTTTGATGCTTAGAAACTTTGTATAAAATCTGTCCTTGGACTTAACATAATAATAATAATAAAAAAGAGAAAACAGAAAGGTCAGAATTTTGATATCACACTGAAATAATAATAACAACATTGGCAATACTAGCCCTGTACGTCCTCGGTATTTGATTGATGCCAAAATGTGCAGTATCACACACATTTAGAGTGAAAGAATAAATACTAAGGCCCCACACACAGGAGAACAGATTGTCAGTTTTGAAAAACTCTCATCTACAAGGGTCGATTTCCAGAAAAGTTTTCATTTTTTCATAACATGCTATTTTTTTCACTCCTCCAGACTTCTAAGTGGTGCTAGAGCATGGAGTATGATCCTTGCGCATAAAGCTTAGCTTCCACACAATTATGAGTTTAATCAGGAGCAGTGCCAGGAACACATGCAGTAAGCTTTGCAGCAGAATGACCGTGATTTAACTGAGCCACTCATTGCTTTGAAGAACAACTGAGAGCGAAACGCTGAAGCTACGGTCAGCATTCTGATGGGGATGCCGACAAAAACTACATGATGTTAACTTGTGATGTGAAGATGAACTTTCCTTTTGATTTAAAAAAAATAAATAAATAAAGTTCAGGCATGGCTGTTTGTTTGAATTTACTACCTGGATGTTTCTGCTTTCCCGCAATGCAGAAGGTTGCACATTTAAGAAAAATAATGATGCTGATTCAACTTTAGCTTTAATAACATAAAACTACATCATTTTTAAAGTTTAATTTGTTCAGCACTTGAATTGTGAGCCTTGTTTAGAAAAAGAACTGGAGAACTTGGAACCTTTTTCCAAATGTTTCACTCTTTCTTAATTTAGGACATTGTAATATGTACAAATACAAATGTAATATGTAACAATGTATTGTCTATTATATGTTGCATGACTTTGTGTTCTTGTGTTTATGATGTAAAGCACTTTGAAATGCCTTGCTGAAATGTGCTATACAAATAAAATTTGATTGATTGATTGATTGTCTTTTATTTGTACTAACTTGTGCATCTCTATATAGAAACATTGAATGTGGTACTGAAAGGTGTTCTGACCTCTGAGCACTCTCTGTTGAAGGACTTCCATGAATTAAAACTTAGCATTTATTCATATGTTGTTCTGGCTTGAATCATTTCCACAGATTAAATACTTTTAAGAAAATAAGAGTTTGTGTCAAAATACATTTTATTTCTAAAAATTGTTATATTTTTTGTCACGTTTCACATTTTCTTTCCATTTCATAACTGAACTCACAAGTCTGTGGATGTAATATGACAAAATGAGAAAAGCTAATGGGGTGTGAATACTTCAGCTTTAGTCTGAATCTTGTTGGAAGGCATGTTAAAAAAGTTCCCCCCCCAAAGAAAAAAAAAATCCTCATTTAGATGGGGTTTTCTTTTACATGAGGAAAGGGAAGCCCAATTTTTTTTTCCACTTTGAGGTAATTGAAATTTCCACCCATCACTTCCTGCTATGAAAATGTGGTGAAATTTCATCAGAGCAACCAGGAAACATGTACAGGCTCTTAATCAAAGACTCGGCTCAATTACTAACAATTGTTGCTGTTATTAACAGCACACTGAGTATTTGTAAGGATTTGGTTGTTTCTGTGTGTTTATTTAGTTCTCTGGAGTCTCTGTGTCGATTAGTAAAGCCTGTTCCTTGTTTCTCCTGATTGTCTCCCTGTGTGTTTAAACCAACCTGTGTTCCTTGTTGGGTCCTCGTTTCATCTGTCCAGTCGTCTCATCGCGTCTCCTGTCAAGGCTGCTCCCAGTTATTTATATAACCAGTCGCTTCCAGAATTTGAGCTTTCAGCCTGGACAATGGATTTGTGTTTTTATCAATGATCACTGATAATATCTTTCATTCCAACCTGGGTCCTCAAAATCACCTCTTCACACTATTTCATGGCAGCATTGATCACTTTGAGCATTGGTTTATAACCTGCTGAGATAAACTTCAGTAGCACCACTCTGCTGCCCAACAAGCTCTCTGTGGTTAAAATGTTTCTGTTTACCATCCTTGACCTTTTTAGCCATGGTGTCTGTTCTTCTTGGAATAAGATACTTTTCCCTCCAATACAGAGGGATTGTGTGATAGGGGTCTGTGAACGTGCATATATAAAGGTCAACTTTCAATCATAAAGTTTTATGTAAATGCTCCACATTCAAACTTCACTTCTTATGAATTTTTAAAGCAGTTTTACAAAAACAAAAACACAGTTTGACCAGGAGGAAAACTGTCAAAGTAAAAAAAATAAAATAAAAATCTCAAAAAAGAGAAAATGTATATCTTAGTGAAGTGATTAGATTACTCTGAACAACAATTAAACTTTTTTGTCCAATATACACAAATAAAAACAACAAACAAACCCAAAACTATAAATTGCTATACTGTAATGATTTTTTGTGGTTGCTGATTGGTTAGTCAAGGAGTATTTAGGCCACAGAACATTAAAATAATTACTGTACTAATGAATAGAAACTCACTGACTCCATCTCCAACTGTAAAAAAATAACCTTTGCAGACCACATTTTGTCCTATTTTCTTGTACTGACAAAATATATTCTTTAAATTCGGAATGGAATCAACAAATTGACATTCTTCTACCACAGCGAAGTTTTCGTCTCCTCTTCCACCCACATTAACACAAGCCACCAAAGCTGTGGATGGAAACTCAATGCTTGCAAAATATGTGCATTCTGAAAATTAAAAAGAGGAAGAGGAACATGCCTTTCTCTTTTTTTTGACATGTCTTTTTTTTCTAAAAAAAAAAAAAAAACATCAGGGAGGGGTTTGCTGTAAAAATAGCCAAGGGGCGATCAATGCCGGGAAAGCAACCCCAATGGTTTAGTTACCAACATGTAACGCTCGTCACTTTGCTTGTTTGGCCTGCTTATTTTGGACTTAACACAAGATAATTCTGTCAGGGTCTGGCAGAAATTGAAAAGAAGAAGTGGGGAAGCTGAAATGTACTTTGATCCGGACATTTTTCAAGGCCTCACAAAAAAGCGACAGAAGCTTTCAGCAGGAGGATGTTTCCGTTTTATGATCATGTCTGAACAATTGAAAAGCAGAAGTGACAGAGTTGGCACCATTATTGAAATGGAATAACTTGCTCTTTCCCTTGTGCAGTGAAGTTCACCATTGGCTGGTCACACAGTGGCATTTTTGTAAAAACAAGCTGCCATGTGTTGCAAAATGTGTGACTGTCAAAGCCAGACTGCATCTCGTTTCTCCGCCCTGCAGCTAAGAGTTTCCTGACAGAACAGCAGTCGGTTTCAGTCACTGTAAAACAACCAGCCAGAAACTGCTCTATATCGATCATAATAGGAATAAGCAGCCACCGCAGAACATGAAATGTGCTGTTTCATGTTCTGTATGCTGGTTTTGTTCCTGAACTCAGAAACAGGAATAAATATGGCCTCTTCCCAAGCAGATGGTGGACTGCTTGCACACTTGTTTAAATAACTTAAATTCTTATGTAATTTAAGTATGAACATTTAAAGTTCGCTTTTACCACGTCATAGGGAGTTATTTCCTCCTGTTTAAGGTTAAATAACTTGAGGCCTTTTTTTATAGGCCTGATAAAAAAGACCCTGATTGATTCAGAAGTCAAAATAGTGACAGTTAGAACCTAAATATGATTTATTTTAAGTTATTATTTTGTTATTTAACTTAAAAGTTAATTTACTTTATTTTCATTATTGTGTGATTGTGTACACTGTTGCTGCAGGACGGTTTCTAGTCGCTCCAATGATGTACATTTATTATCACAAAGCATAAAAAAGGCAAAACAGTCATGGTCATAAAAGAAAACTGTTCAATTTTATTCCAACCACATATTTAACACGATACAACTCATGACACTAATTCACTTCTGTCAGTCTGGACATGATCTGCTAATTTGTCAGATCATGTGAGACAAGCTGTTTAAGTGATTTCTTAATTCTACAGTAAAACTGAAGCAAAAAGAAAAAAAGAACAAACAAAAAACCCTGATCAATCACAGGACTGTCAAGACTTTAACAGTGGTAGAAATTATGTTTCACGTAAGGCCATGATTGAAGTCATCATTTGACAACTGCTTTGTAACTCAGCGTTTTGTTTTTTTTTTATATTAAAGATTTGTTCTAGATTTGAATGTGACAAAACCAGAAGAAAAAATAAGAAACTTTTTTCCTCATGCTGGTTGAGTGACAGAGTTGAAACAGTGTGGCTACTCTGGAAAGCTGCTGGCGTTGAGGATGAGTTCTCATCCCAGAATCCGAGCTGCTCGGTTTTTGCGTCGACTACGAGCTACAATGCATTCGCTATGACGCAACATGTTGGGAGATGACACTACTGTTGGTTTAGCAGTATGTTCAGAGTATAAAAAGGAACATCCAGAACGAGAGAGACAGGCGCACACACAATATAATAATAACCTGCCATAATACAAATCAGCTGACTAATGTCTTTCACTTCTGCTGACAAACCTACAGATTACTGTTATTTTCTGTAGGTGACAAATATGAAGCCGTACCATATTGGTGCAACCTGTATTTGCAAAGTTACAACCTCTACATGTATATGAAGGTGTATATTCGGTTGCACGTGTGATTTTTTGATCACGTTCTGCACACACACACACATGCACACACACACACACACGCATACACACACACACACACACAAAAACTGATGTAAAAGGGAGTGGAAGCTGGTTAGGCGTCACGCTTATGAAATAAAACAATATGCAAATGAGCCGTTCCTTTCCGCGGCAGAGCGTTCAGGATGTTTGATGAAGTCGGTGCTGGGTTTGCATCTCGCCACGCTGCCTCCGTGTGGGAGGAAATTGGTAACTTCTCGTCGGTATGAGCGTCCAGGTGTGATTTTCATCCCCCTCTCTAGCTGGGGCTCCTCTCCTCGGTTCTCACTGTGATCTTGAATCTTCTATCCTGGTGCGTGTCTGTGAACAACAGAAAGGGATTTTAAATTGTTGTAGATGGACAAAAACCCCTGAGAGAAATTCTTGTTAAGATGGGTATAATATTAGGAATAGCTAAAGGAAGAGAGAAACAACAGCTCTTCTTTCCAAGCTTACTAAACTCAAAAGTATGGATTCCAGGACATTTGTGTTAAAATGTAAAAGATTCAGCTTAAATTAAATATTATTATTAGCTTTTGATTTTGTTATAAAGGGCAGCCAGGTTCTATCTAGTTGCCACAAAACACTTTAACCGACCAATTTGTCAGGTACAACTTACTAGCAAGAATTGGTCCCTCAGAATTTATTTAAAGGGACCTAATATGCAAAAATCTACTCTTTTTTAAATTAATTTTTTAATTTATTTATTTTTTTAGATTTATATCATATTATAATGTTACTCCCTCATCAAACACAAAATGTTGTTTTAATTAATTTATTCATATTTGAGAAATCCTTGAATTTCTCATGGCAACCATTAGGGCGAGTCTTTTCCACAAATCTGACCAACCACTGAAACGCGGCCGAATTTTGACCAATCTGCTTAGCCGACCTAATAGTCCAACTTCCTGCTTCACAATGTCTCTTGACAACCGAACCTGAAAGGCGTAAGCATATGTAAAGCTAAGCGATGACATTTGACTTTTTAAATTTTTTAATTTTTTTTTTTGCAAAAACCATTTTGAGATGTTCAGTAGGATTTGTTTATATTACACTTACATATTAGTCATGGTGAGATCCCGTCTTTGTAGGGAAAGTTCTGTGCAGGAATTTAAACTTTTTCGCAAAGATTTTTAAGGCAAAGATAAAGCATAAAACAATTGCAACTGTGACCACAACTTTGTGAAAAATATGCCACAAAATCAGTCATTTTAGGTTGCAACAATCTCAATCACAGTGTTGCGGAAGGGCTTACTAAACCAAACTAAACTAAGCTAAACTAAACTACACTAAACCAAACTAAACTAAGCTAAACTACGAAGTGCAGAGCAGAGATCTGTCATTGTGAGAGTGCATAACCTTCTGAGCAGAACTGAACCACATTAAACCTCTGAAGCACTGCAGATCTTATCTCCACATTTAAAGACAATGCAACATGTTAATCAGGACACACTCACATGCAGTTTATTTTTGTAGCATGGAACAAACTAACTTTGCTCTTCTTTATTTTGCTGCTAACGCACATTTGTGGTTTCACTTTTAAAATAAACTATCAACTGTCTGGTTTTAGACATTTGACGTAATAAGAGGAAACAGTAAATAAATGCTTCACGGAGATTTAAAAAAAAAAATCATAATGCATATTTTCCTTCTGAGCAGTTCAGTTTTTTTTTTTTGCAGTATCTCAAAATAGAATTCAACTTTCTGCAGGCTTCCTGAAGCTCCTTGGGTTCTCTTTTAACATAGTTTTTGTCCAGTACCTATGCCAAGCATATTGTGCATGGTGTGCTTAAAAAGTGCTGAAAGTGGACAATTAGAGGACAAAAGGAGAAGTGTCAGGCCTACAACTGTCTCCCCAACAGACAAACAGGACCTGAGAGTTGTTTCTTTAAGAAAAAGGGGGAGAAAGGTAGAGCAAAGAACTGACAAAGGACAGAGAGACGATTCAACTGGACTGCTGAAGGCCAAGTTTTTAGCTGACATATTTTTGGGATTCATCTGGATGGAGCTAAAATCACTGAGATGTCTGTTTGTAAATGTGAAACTTGCTGGTGCGTTATTTTCGATTTGTCGGGTTTTGGCTGTAAAACCCCTCCCACAGACACAGTCGTTGCCATGTCTCTTTCTTGTTGTCGAATCATAAACACTGACTGTAACTGATACAGGAGAGGCCTGCAGTGCTTTAGATGTCCTGCAGTCGATTGCAATGTTGGAATAACTTTGGTAGTCCGACCTAGCTGCCATTATTTGATGACTTCTTGCAAAGTTACACAAAGTAACTTTTTGTCTTATGCTAAACTCAGCTGGATGATCTGAGACATTAGATGTGATGAAAAACAAATAAAAAACCCCAGTAAAGTTTATGATTTCATATTTTGCACCACCGAGTCTGACTTTCAGTAAATAATGCTCAGGCATCAGCTTCCTGCTGCTGTTGAACATACAGTCACAAGGATAGCACTTTAGAGATGAAGTATTTACGGTACATTTGTACTGCTTCAACAAAAGCAAGCACAACACAGATAATAATAATAATAATAATAATAATAATAATAATAATAATAATAATAATAATAATAATAATAATAATATTACTTTAACTTTTACACAGTCAAAGAGCTTTCTGTGCTTTCTGCTATAATGCAAGATTTTAATAAGGTTTTTCTGTTAAACCTATGACAGGTTAAGAGCTTTATTCTAAAGCTAAGTCCTATCGTCTTAGTAAAGATCCGTTCAGAAGAATCAGATTGTGTACACTGTTGATTGAATGTCATATCACTATATAGCGGACTTTGGTCACAGCGTTGTTCCATACATGCGACATGTCAGTCAACACCTCCGCACAATAACTCAGCGCAGAGGGTGACATCGTTTATTCATCACAAGTGGAACATATTAAGTTAAGAGTTAAAAGACATGCAGCAAGAAATGTTTACAATACTATAGGTTCTCCGTGCATATAATGTCATTTTCTAGCATAATAAAGTAACTATGTTACTTGATTTTTTTTTTACAGTGGATATGAACACCCAAAATGCCTTAAAATAAATTTAAGTTTAAGGCCTTAAAATTGGCCGTCTGTCTCTTTAAAATCTCCTGCTATTTCTGAAACTCAGGAAGTCATCATAACATCACTCCTCTGTCAACCCTCTAACAACATTTTTACTGGTGTTGCACTGAGAAGTAGATCATATAATGAGCTCAGCAGATGTTCTTATATTTGCTAATTGCTGCTGGCTAGTCTGAAGGAACTGAGTGGGGCAGTTGCAAGGCAGGGCTGCTCTGTGAGGCAGAAGCTTGCAAACGAAGAGGAGCTATGGCTGAAAGGTGGTGCGAGGTTGAACCAGGCATTTTGCATAGCTGAATGATTGCCATGGGGATTAGAGAATTTCTCAAACACGGATGAAAGAATCAAGGCAGCGATCCTGGTATGTTTTTGATCATGACATTATGTAAAGCTCAAAAAAGTTGATTTTAAACAACACTGCCCCTGCAACATGTACATACCCAGTGGTGGAGAAAGTACAAAAAACAATGTACTTAAGTAAAAGTACAAATACACACACAAAGGTTTTGTGAGGGAACATAATTTTTTTTTTCCCTATGTCCCCTAGGGGGCTCCGTAGGACTGTAATCAAACTGTGCCAGAATACTTGGTTCCAACTCAGTGAGCTTTTTTTTAAATATTATTATTCTGTTGCTTCATTCTTATCAGTTCTGTTATACTGAAATACCCACATTCAATGTGTCTAACATTCAGGGACTAAAAATAAACCCACTACTCACTGTTTGTGTCTGAGTCTTTGTCGGTTTCGGTCTCTATGCGGAGTCTCTTCCTCCTGTGGCCTGCCTTGCTCTCCTGACCCGACCCACTATTGTCTTCCTGCTCGTCCAGGCTGCTGTCTGCCTCATTTGCTGAAGATGAGGACTGTGGCGATGCTGAGGAAGCACAAGGGCTCGCAATAGAAGGACACTTTTGCTAAAGGCAGAAATAAAGACGCAGCTTTAGATTTAGACGTTCAGCAACACAATCAGCTCTGTGTCTCGGTTGGAGTTACCTTGCCGTTTGACGTCTTCAACTCTTGTTTCTGGAGCGGAGATGTGAGGGTCTCTAGCCTTACCAGTGCTATGGAAAAATGAGCACAAGACATGTTTTTCCACTGCTAACTGTTCAGCTAAAGGAATATGTCATACTTTTGTTCTGCTTTCCTTTGCTTCAGTGAGTAGAACATCAACACTGAACTCCAGAAGAAGCCATCGCTTTACTCTTTCACAGTTCTTGCCTTAACAGGCATTTGTCACAATCAAACTTACTTATCTACATCAGCATGTGACACATTTCCATAATAACCTGTTCAGCCACTTGCGCAACACACCCTGAGGTAGAGCTGTTGTGGTTTGGTGAGTGCTGGTGGAATGGTTATATGAAGGACAAAAAAGGGAATGAATACGAGATCTATTAACTATCTGTCAGACTGAACCTGTGCTGAGGCTGGATGAGAAACAAACAGGAGCAACCGGTATGTCACACTGCTTTTTAATTTTGATAAAGAACACACGCAAAAGCAATAATTTAGATGATGCCCTGTGAGGCTTAAAATAGGACAGCAGTCCTGTTCAACGCTGAACTGAACATAGTTCATAGAAAGTTGTTGTCCTGAGAGACATAGAAGGCAAAAGACTAACATCTTCAAAAAACATATTTGAGCACAAAACCAGACATAACAGTTTAGACGTTTCAACACTGTGAGGCTCTCTGGCTGCTTTACACACGTTTGTACAGTTATTGGCTCCATGGCGACACTTAGAGGCCAAAAACTACACAAACTGCAGACATACATAATGCAAAGCAAGCTTATTGAATGCGTTATGTGTCAATAATGATATTGATATTATATTTAATTTATTTTTATTAGTGGTGGAGCTTTATTGAAAAGTTTTAAGTGAGTTAATAGAAGGGTCTGCAATTAATTACTAACTATAAATCGCATTTTAATTGAAAACCATATTCTGAAATTATATGCTAAAGCTCTTTTTGCTGTTAAATTATCACATAAATAGACATATGAGCACAACAATAAGGATATTTATTGTTCATATTCCGTTTTTATATTATTCCACCATAAGTTTGGTGAAAAGTTTGGTTATAACCATTCAGCCTTCAAGTGTTTCAGGAACAGCTGATCATTCATGGAACTTCTATAAAAATACTTCTTTAGAAATGTGGGCAGTGGGCGATGACATTAGCATCCGGTGCAGTACAACATTTAAAAAGAGATTTAACGTGAAAGTCATTTTTCCTCATTGAAATACAATTATCAAGTCCACACCCTTTGCTTTATAAACTATGATGACATTTTCAGCCAATTTTCATGTCAGATAATGAGGAAAAAATACATTTCAAAACTTTTTTAGTGTTTGTAAATGTCTGGTTTCAGGTTGAAGTTTTCTCATAACAGGAATTTATGAGATATTAACGGAATACAGTCAATGAAGCCAGAATGTTTTCTTTTTTAATGAACCAAGGCTGTATGAAGAAGCTGACACATTCAGTAAATAGCTTTCTTTCTCAGAACTTGATTTTCCGCTCTCATCTGTATAGGCTAAATTTAAAGCTAGTTTGTCAAGCTTAGCAAGAGGAGGAAAGTAAAAAAAAAATAAAACAAAACAAAACAAAAAAACATCTGGCATAGATTTACGGCTTCTTTATAATGGGGTTGTGTTAAATCATCTAACATTCAGAGTGGTTTCAATTTAACGAATCAAAAAGAAACTCTTAGGGGGCTCCAGCTAACATGTAATCAGAGCAGTGTCAGTTCAAAACATTTTATGCATCAAAAACTCCAAACATCTCAAAGAAAAAAATATGTATCAGGGGTGTAATGGTAACTTTATATATTTTGAAAATACTGTATCAAAAATGATTTCTCTGGACATTGCTGTATCTGACACCTGGAAAATGGTCTCCGTCTCTTTAAGAAGCTTCCGCTCTTTCCAACACTCCACCTGCAGCATGACATAACAACAATACTTCTCCATAATGCCGGTTACAAGCATCCCTAGGAGCATTGTAGTTTGTAAGATGAGTTCACCTTTATTTTAGCTTGTGAAGAAGCAAGGAGAGAACTGGTTAGCATCTAGTCTTTTGTACACTTTTAAATCTGCACTGCTGTAAGAGCAGATTTAAGTCAATTTGCCAGAAGGAAAGGGGAAAGGGTTGATTTCTAAGCTAGCTATTTCCTACTTCAGTAAATACTGCTGGTTATGAGTCTGAGGTAGGTGTGCTACTTCCAGCTACTTTTGGAAAAAACTATTTCAGTCGATTTACTGAATACTGCCATCCCACATTTCCAACTCAACATGATTAAGGGATAAGATTTGTTAGTCAGCAAGCAGACAGAGTTGCAGACATTTTCGTAATCTTTACCTGGACGTAATGACAGAGTGAGGACAGGAACTTTCTTTCCGTTGCTTTGCTCCATTTTATCATTTGCTTCTTCGTTTTTGTCCTGATCGTTAACCTGCGGCAATAATACCATCATTACATCTTTTGTTCACCTTGATAAAAAATTTTAATTAAAATTTTAGTGTGAAGAAGTTTGAAAATACCTCATGGTTATGATCACTGTTCAACTCTTGTTCTTGTTTGATGGGTGTTGAGGAGGAGGAAGAAGGGAGAGAAATGAGTGAAGGTGATGACACAGGTATGGCTGTATTTACATTTCTGTCAGGGCTCCTCTGTATGTCTCCTTCGCTTTGCAAGGCGATGGGACTGTCATCATTTCCAGGTTGGTTAGGTTTAGACTTCGCTCGATCGGAAAGGTCCAGAGGCCCGTCAGAGCTCTCTCGAAGTTCTTCTCCAGAGACTTTTTCAGTCTTGGAAGGTGGGCTTTCTCTTTTCTCCACAGGCTTAGTTTCATTCTCTATGTTCTCTGGCATCCTCCTGAATGTGAACACCACTGTTGGTTCTTTAGGGGGCGGAGGCGTGCTCTGCTTTTGGCTCTGCCACGGAGAACCTAAACTATGCCTTCTGATGGTGGCTTGTGAGATTTGTGGGATCAAGTTGGAAAGACGTGTCAGATGAAGCCTGTTGGAAGGGTTCTGCAGGCCCGGGTTGGCTCCCACAGCTGCCAGGGGACCCCAGTTCGGACCTTCAGATAGAGGCCAGGGCAGAGAGACGGGGCCACTCTTGATTGGCTTGGGATGGCAGGGGATGGGCGCGTGGATCACAGGTCTGTTTGGTCTCACCTCTCCACTTGGTGAGGAGGAGGACTTCTTCCGAAGAAGTGGGTTATGCATGGAGGAATGCTGATCAAGTGCTTCAATGCTTTGGGGAAATGATGAACAGAAGTTAGTTATATATTAGGAAGGAATGTGATCTTATTTTTCTTTTAACAAAATGGGAAAACCAGGACAAAAAAGAACCAAAACAAAACTGAGGTAAAGTCTCAAAGGTCCCAGGTGTCACCCGTCATGTCCAGTAGATGTTGTCTTTGCTCTCTATTGAACAATGACTCTCTCCATTGCTGCATATTTGAAGTCATTAAAATAATGACGTAAATTAAATTTGGCTTGACGTAGGAAGGACTGTATTTTCTCTGTCTGAGAATATATATATTTTTTTGTCCTTCATATTGTACAGCTACTTCAGCTTATGCTTTATCTCACTTTATGCAGATGACACCTGCTAATAAAATACAACCATTAATAAAAACGTTGATGACTCAAAAATGTCCAGCCCGTAAATGACAGTCTGGACCAAAATTGAGATGTTTGCAACTGGAATAAATTCTTTCAGCCACTTCAAGTTCTACGATTATATTCATTAGTTCAAGTCAAAACCAGGATTTGGGAATGGCAGCACTCCCCACAAATTAGGGGGGGGAGTGCTGCCATTATGAGTTCATAAAAACTCATGTGGCTTCCAGGGAACAAAGCATTTTGGCTTTTTTTTTTTAATTTTTCGTATCTTTTGAAGATGTTTATGCATAAACCCACATATAAGGTTTTTACCTATTCTCTCTAGATCGGTTTAGTCTGTGCTCTGTCTTCCAGGATGATGATGCTGAAGTTGGCTGAGGCTTGTATACTTCCTGTGTGAGAAAAAAGGGTTGGATTACAATACATGTCAAAGTTACTGCCAGATTTCTTTGACTAAAAGAAATACAGTCCGATCTCAAAGAAAATAGCTATAATTTTTAGAACCTGGGGGTGCATTCACATCAGCCCTGTTTCATCTGCTTTAATTTAACTCAAGTTGTTAACTCTTGTTTGTATGTGTGAATGCGTAATCAAATTCCAGCCCACCAAAAACTTAGGTTAGGGAACAGGTTGCTCAAAGGGTTTGGTTCATTTGACACAGAGCTGTGTAATTTCTAATTTCAGCAGCTGAAAATGGAACAAATGTCGCAATTTTGGTCCCCAATCAAACCGGGTCTGCTAGACTGTCAGGTCCTTTGCTTATGTGTGGCCTAAGCTTTAGCTCATTCGTCCAATGCAGTGATACAAATGGAAGTTGTAATCATGCTGATTAAGCAACTGTAAAAACTTAATTTAGGTTTTAACAAAGGCAGAGTAGAGGGAGCTGATTTAAAAACTTACAAAAATACTTCGGTTTGTGCCTCTCAGCAGCCTGCATTCAGTTTCTGTAAAAAAATAAAATAAATAAATAAATAAAAGATATAAGAGAACAAATGACAAAATCTGCTCTATGAAAAGAAGCCCTTCTCTGGTGAGCCTCACCTTCACCTCTGTGGTCTGCCTCAGTCTTCACCAGTACATCGCCATCTGCTGGTTGGTCTCTGGACTGGCTGGTTGGGCTGACCAGGGCTACAGCTCCGGGGGACAGGGGGTCAGGAGACAACTTTGGTTTGATGTCGACAGAGTTGTTGTTATTGTTGTTGTTGTGCTCGCTGCAACTTCTGCTTTCACACACCAACAGGTAGTGTTGAAGAAACAAAGGACACATTTAAGGGGGCGCTAAAAACAAAACTAAGGTCAGTTTAATAGAATTTGTACTGAAATGACTGGAACTGGGAGGAATTTGATTAAAATGACATTGAGTTATTCTCAATGCATTTGAATTTAAACAAATGTGATCTACAACTGGAATAAATTTGACTTTGATATATGGGACATTTGTTATGAACTGACAATGTAAAATACTCTTTGCATAATATAGTATTATGCAAAGAGTGAAACCTTTTGATAAAGGTCAGTTTAATGGACTTTGTTAAGCTGAGTCCTCATTGGAAACATTTAGTTATAGCACCCAGACCTGATTAAATTGAAATGCTAATGGTGTTGTTGCTTGTCAACTTCCTCAGGATTCAGTTTTAAACGTCACATTTATTTTTTAAATTTGCACTTTTATCCAAATCCCTTTTTGGTGCAGCAATAATTGTTTTCCTAATGAGTGAAACTGTACAAATAAAAAAGAATAAATAAACTAAACTGTATAAATCAGTAAGGAGGATTTTAGGACTAGCTCTAAAATAAGCTGAACCTTGTTGTAGTTTTAGCTCACGATAAGCTAAACTAAGTGGAAACTTTCCAGTCAAATATCACATACTCACTCAAGTGCTGCTCTTAAACTGGCAATCTCGTTTTTAAGTCTAAGATTCTCTTTCCGAAGGTTGGTCATTTCTCCAGCTAAAACCCAAAGAACAAGTCGCAGTGAAAAATAGAGTTTTTTTTAGATAAAGGCAACAAGAAAAGAATTGTAAAACAAAGTAATTTTTAGAGGAAGCTAATGATGCTTATTAGCATTAGAAAAGGAAAAAGCATCTGGAATACCAAGGAGGGAGATGTGCTGAAGGCTCTGTATGCGTAAGGCTTCGTGCTCCTGCTGTCTTCGCTTGGCGACTTCTTGGGTTACGGTACATCTGTCACACAGACCGGCTCTCAGTCTGAACACACAGCAGAAAAAATAATGCTAATTCAAGTGTTAATTTTATGTCAATTAAGCTCTGAATTCATATATTTGAGGAGGCTCTTGTATATTAATCTCTCTGCGAAAGCTGGATTTGTTCCACACTTGAAAAACGTAACTGTGTGGCAATCAGCTATTATTGTAAGCAAGTTATTTTTGTATAAAAATAAGAAATAAAAATCTGTCAGGCCCGGCAACCTGAGCAGGTGAAGCTACAGATTGCTCACTTTTTGAATGACGGTTTTATTTATAAAGGAAACGGGTCGACTGAACCAACATCATCTTACGTGACAATGTAATTTCAAGTCCCAGTAGAAACGATGGCTTAACTGTAGCTGCGTTCCCATCGACTGTATAAATGTGCAAATCAGAAATGGGAAAATACATTCGCTTCATTGAATTTTGCTAATTTTGAGAAAACCTGATTTTCAATAAGACATTTTTGCATTAGTATGAGGTATTGAAATAAATGTGTTTCACAAAACTGCAATGGAAGCGCTTTTTTTTGCATCACAGGTCACATGATTAACAACCGAGTGTTACTACTGGCAGGAAAGACGAAGAAGACGACAGGTAGCGCTAAGAAACCTCTGAAATGGAACTTGTCTGACAACATGACATAGGTTTTAGCATCTTAAAAGCAAAACACTCTCCTTTGACCAACAGAAGAGGTACAAAGCCGTTTTCATCTTTTTGTATCTTACTAATCTCAAGGAAAGTCTTTACACTAAAATCTTTAGCTTAATTCATGTTATTACTTTCCTAAGCTTTAGCCACCGTTAATAGTTTTTATGTCATCCTTTAATTACTACCTGGATGCCTTTAGTATTTCAAGTCCCTTTACAAAACAGAAAACATCCGGTTTTAATTCAGTGTTACCTGTTTTCTAGAGTCTTGATGTTCTCCATTAGTAATTTCTGCTGCTCTTTCATCTGCTGGTTTCTGGTGAATAGTTCCTCCATCCGCTTTGTGTCGCTGTTGGCATCAAGCAGTTAGAGTCGGGTTTTAGTAATGCAAACAAATTCCATAAACCTACAAATGAAATCAGATTTTTACACTCGCAGAATAAAAACGACACATATTTTGTTATTTCTCACTGTCTGAAGTCAAGTCAGACCAAAGTTTTTCTTCTTTTTCAAGAATTTTCTAAACTATCTCTAACAAACAAACAAACAAACAAACAAACAAACAAACAAACAAACCTTCCTGCTGTCTCAGAAAGAAATTCTGTAAAATAATAAAGCATGATGTCGCTCAGAACACAAAGCATTGTATTCCTGAACAGATCTACCCTCATGGATTGGACAAATCAATTTGTTCATCATATCAAGTTGGTGCATCTCTAGTCATAATACTGATAGAAACAATTTGTCAGAGATTTATTTAGAACCAAAAGAAGTTTGATTGTCATTAATTTCCTAAGATTTGAGTGTATGCATTTGGTTTAAATGATGATGTGCTTCTGAGTGAAGCACTATCACTATCTCTGAGATGTTTAGAATGATGTAAGAAGTACAAAGGAAGCTGTTTCAAAGGAAATGTTCTTCCATAGCATGCTAAGACATGTCCGCGGTTTATTCAGGCTGTGAGACAGTTCAAGGCTTTTTACAGAAAACAGGAATTTCCATGTTCCCCTTTGAGGTCTCTCACTATCCGTCCCTGTCAGGGAACAAGATGCATCTGGAAATGTTAGGAGCCTCATGGAGCTATGATTGTAAACTTGAACAACTATGTTCAAGTGCCTTCACACCAGCTCTGTCTAGTCCACCTTAATCAAAAGCGGAACAAACAGTTTGTTTTCCTAGTGAACCAAACTTTCCAAGAAACATCCGGTTTGTCTGGGGAGGTGGGAACGAGCAATCAAGCCAAAAAAAATCAAAAATCAAACTCTGGTCCACCTTCAAACCAAGGTCTTGGTTCTGCTGAAGTGAACTCTGGTGAGGTTCTAATGTACATGTGAACGCCAAGGGGACCGGAAACCCCTCCAGAAACAGAAATCAGACTATTGTGCAGGACATTCTGGGCAAATACAACAAAAGCAAAAGGAGTCTAATGGTAGTGGGAAGAATGGCTCGTCCTGAGCGTTGAAGAGTGAATGACAACACACCATTTCTGTTTACAATTTGTGAAGAAAGAAGTTGTGTTCGTGTCCTCTTCAGAGGTTTTCGTGTTGTTCTCTCCAGTGAGTCTTGGTGCAGCTCCACCACAGGCGAGGGGGTAAATGGGTTTTTCATAAAGTTCGGTTCATTTGTGTGGTGTGAAAGCAAACCGCACCAGCTGTTCGAACCGAGTCTAGCGGACCATCAGATAAGAACTCTCTTCTGATTGTCCCAACTTTGTCCGCCTCGACTTTAACTAAGCATTAACATTTTCCAAAATAATAATAATAATAACTATCTTCTCTGCAGCCACACAGAGCTAATGGCAGAGGACTGTTGTTTTGATCAGATCTCAGACTTTTAAACTGCAGTTTAATCTCATTTTAAGTAACAAAATTAATGGTTAATTAGTTTTGTCCTGCAGTATCCTCACCAAAGCTTCTGTGTTCTGCAGCCTCATAAAACTGAGTTTTATTGACATGTGCCGCCTGCTCCTATAGTAAATAAAGATCCACTGGGAGAATGTCTAGTATCTTCATTAGACTTTTTGAATGGCTTAAAAGTGCTAATTGTGTGCTTACATTGAATACTCTTCCCATCTCCTTTTCCTTTTCTCTCAGTTCTAAGAAGAATCAAAAGTTCGGTGACTCAATAACAGACTTGTTGCAACATGAGCTTCCTTCCTTCCATGCAGTGAACCCGGAGCCAGGTGCAGGTCTGGCGTGCCCACCTGCCTCCCTGTCTGATCTGAAAACGCTTCGCATTTGAACTGTCTTCAATTTCTACGTAAACCATGAGTCTACTCACCAGCCCTTCTTGTTGGACAGCTCTTTGACTTTCACCTGTAAAACTGATTAAAAATAAGACATACTCATCACTATTAGAATTTATAGTGAAAAAAACAAAACCAAAAAACAATCTTTGCAATGCTCAGAAATCTTTAGCCCTCACCTTCCACTTCTCCTTCATGGGCTTCCTGCAGCTTCTGCAGAAGGTCTTTAAAGCTCTCCATTATTTCCAACATTCACAGTTGAACTTCACTTAAACTGTGTGACAGAAAAAGCAGGTGTTTATTTATTTATTTAAATCATTGTCGATCAGAAGAATAGAATAAAACAGGATTTTCTTTTTTGCGACAATAAGATCGGATTCAGCTTGCACCACGCCCTTAATCCCATGTTATTACGAAATGATAAAACCTGTGTAAACACTCACAAGAACAGTTAAACGCACGAACGTTATAGCCTGAGGACTGTTGGTGTGAGTCTGAGAACGAGTCCCTAAATTCTCATGAGGAAGCGTTTTTTTTTCTTCTTTTTTTTATATTTAGGAAAACTAGTTAGACTGGACCTGCCAGGTGTGCTACTTTAGCTTGCACTTTGTGATTCAAATACATAAACGACACAACACCATATACATTTGGTAGCATTTTCAAGTGTATGTTATCATTTGAAAATATTGTCATTTTCAAATGATAACATACACAAACAAATAAATTCAAGAAACTTTCCACTCCTTCAGTAAAGATAACGCACAACACAATATAGGCTCAGTTAGTAAAACAGAAGAGCTTCTGCTAAGTAAGAAGCTCAGAGTTAACACTGTGTGTGGATTTATATATAATTGGGTCGATCTGATCAGATTGTGGAAGTAGCATCATGGGAAATTCTTCTCCACAGGTTCCATGGTGTGGCTCTTTTTATTGTAAGCGCTTTGAATTGATTGTAGGTCTCAGTGTTTCTCTACAACACCTTGAATATACCCCATAATCAATGACAAATTATATGGACAGTGTTCTGGCTTGTCCCTAATTGTGTTTCCATTGCTAATGTGTGCAAATCTTTCAAATTGTTGAAAAGAAAAAGAAGAAAAAAAATTCTCAATTTCGCATTTGCAGAGAGAAATGAAATTTAAATCACAGGTGAATTAGCTTGTTCACACGGTAAGTTGTGGCGACATCAGATGTAAAGACTTGCATGATATATATTAATTCAGGCATGTTGCCAGCACTTGTTATCCATCAGCCAATCAGAGGGTATAGAGTGATAAGCCCTGCCCACTTGGAAGTGGCTAAGTCTGCAACAATTTTGGCAAATTCTAGTCTGTGATTTTACAGACGCGCTATGGATTCAATACTGAACACAATTTTTCAGATTGTCTTGAAAGATGATTGGGGCTTTGTGCTTTGCCATATAAATATGCTGCTTATTAGTTTGTTTACTGCTCTTCACACACTGTTCATTTTAAATAGACTTAAACATGTCAGGAGTGTAAACACCCAGGAAGATGGGAACAGAGGTAAGCAGCAGGGACTTTATGTCTGTTCACTGACAGTGTGGATTTGGCCGCTTTCGGAGTGGCCAAATGTAGAAAACAATAACAACACATTGTTTAAACGAGATTTGATGGAAAAAAACTTTTTTTTTGAAAAAGACGCAGAATTTCTGCGTCTTTCTCAAGAAAAAGATGATAATGTTTATTAGCTCTGGAGCACATTAAGATGTGACTATATATAGTATATTCATTCTAGTGCCTATTATTAAATTATCAGTATTGGGACATATAAATGCAACTGAATGAATAAACAACTTCAGAAGTAAAAAAAGCATTTGTGTGTGCGTGTGTAGGCGTGTGTGTGTGTGTGTTTTTAAAGACTCACTCTGTGCATTCTGGCTTGCTTGGTGCTGTGTTATGTATTGGAAAAAGTCTCTGGTCTGTACTGTGCTGAGTAAGAGCTTCACAAATGAGTGTTCTGGCTGCAAATTCTTAGTAAAGGGTAACTATTTCTTTAACTACTTATTTTTTCCTGCCTACATGTAAAGACTGGCTTAATTTTGCATGGAGTGAATTTGCAATGAGCTCACCTTACCCTTAGCTCACATGCTAGCGTGTTCAGACAACCTCTGTGTTCGGGAGTTCATGCTACAGCTACAGCCTCCACCCTTGTTGAAGGGTCATAACTCAAAGATCGTTATACTTTCCAGCACCACTGAGGACCCAGTGGACAGCAACCTGGCATTCCATGCTGAATAGGTTGGGACAGAGAAAGGGAAGAACATGACATGTGCGCTGGACAGAGCCTCTAATTACCTTTGCTACCAGGAAAGCAGCTTTTACCAGCTTTTTCAGCTTGCAAGATAAGTCATGACTGGTCAAGCCGGTTTCAGCTCCCCTCCAAAGGCTTCTCTTAACCTGAGATAAACCACATGGGATGGGCGAGCTACTGCAGAGAATCTCTCTCTCTCTCTCTCTGTCTCTCACACACTTGCTCACCTCTTGTGCAAATTGAAAATTGTACAACTATGCTGAACAATCAGTCTGCATTGTGGACCCAATGTTACAGCATTCAAGCATAAGCGACACCTAGTCCTGGTCTTTGTAAAGAAATAAAGGTGTGATCTCGTTCTGATCTTTGATGAAATTGTGAAAGTGAGTGAGCTGAAACTCTGTTTGGTCCAGGAGAAGAAGGAGACAAGCACCCACATGAGGTTGCAGGCTTTAGAGATAGCCCCCCTGACAACATATCTAACGACATAAATGTGTGAACCCAAGGTCATTCCCGCCTTCTCCTCATTGTTTTAAGCTTTTTTCCTCAAGGAGGAGAAGACATAATAAAAAGGATGATCAAACTGTCTTGTTCAGATTTGAAGTGCTTGTTGGTGTTAAATTCACCAACAAGCATCATTAGACACTCAACAGCTCTTTATCAGTGTCACCAGGAACTCACCCGTGCCCCATCACAGCTGTTAGACCAACACTTCTACTTTTGCAAAGCCACAGAAACACAGGTGAAGAAGAGTGGGATGATCAGTTAGGGATCGCAATACATGTTTGGTGACTTGATGCCCAGGGCATGGATGGTAAGTGGTAAAATGGGCTGCACTTGTATAGAACTTTTTCCAAGTCTGAGGACTCCCAACAGCTTTACACAACAATCAGTTATTGACCTATTCATACACACTGATGGTGGTAAGCTACATTGTAGTCACAGCTGCCCTGGGACACACTGAGACAAGTGAGGCTGTCATTCAATAGGCAGCACCACACCCTCTGATCACCCTCAGTGGGCAAAGGGACAACGCGTCCTGCCCAAAGAGGCAAAGACAAAGATAGTGGTCAGTAGTTTGATTGGGGACCAAGATTGGAACATTTTCAACTGGTGCTGTTCGCGTTCAGACTCCACTGCGACAAATGAACCAATGATAGCATGCCAACATTTGAAATGTGTTTTTTTTTTTTTTTTTATGTTGAGAGGCTTTCTTTTAAATAGTGTCAATAATTCACCCGGCATCCACATCCTTTTGTCACTTGTCTTCCTCTGATTGTACATCAGAATAACCACTGAAGGAAGCAACAAGACAATATCTGAAGAAGTCACTGAGCAAAACTTCCTTCTTCACAAAATGCAAGCAAAAATAGAACGGCGTCAGATTTTAGTGGTTAAAGTTTCTCATTTGGCTTTGGTAAAAGACCTCAAGTCATTTCACTTGCTTGTGGGAGAAATGGCAACCCACCGCTAGATCAACCTATCTGTCACAGATACTGATGCTTTTGGAGTTTCCAAGAACTTGGTTGTCAAAAAACTAATGATTACCTTCAGTACCCCACCTTTGAGGTTTTCAGTTTCCATTGCTGAGAGTAAAGCTGATAAAAACTTAAGCTTTTGGGAATTTTCAAACTTGAGGTAACAGAGCTTTAATTTGACAAGTTCATCAATATTTTGGTCCTCTGAAATCGCCTCGGGCGACATTCACCTGCAAGTATGAAATTCATAAATTTTTAGAATAGTCTGAACACCACAAAACATGTTTACTTTTTTCAAATAAAAAACTGTCTTCTTGCGTAGATTTGACAAATAGAACTGTCGTGTTGCATTTCATTCAATGTTTGCTTCATTGTGTGCAACAGACTCACAGTTTGCCATCAAACTTGTGCCTGAACATATTCCAAATTTAGTCAAGTGCTAATATTTAGCATTTTGATCAGTGGAGTTTCAGGTCTCTTGACATGTCAGGATATGTCAGGAAAGAGGCTGTTCAGATCACTTCAGCAGTGCAAGAAAAGACCTGCCTGCCTCAGTTAGCTGGCTCTGCTATCACAGATCCTTATTCACACCCCTTCCTTCTCTCTCTCTGTCTCTCTCTGTCTCTCTCTCTCTCACACACACACACACACACACACACACACACACACACATAAATCTATTACTGCTTACCAAGAATTTCAGGTTCCCTAGGCTTCAGACTCTATCTCCAACTGCATGACATTTTCCAGTCAGTTGAAAGAGACGTTACAACGCTCATCTCCCGGGATGCTCCACACCTGTGAAGAAACCCATCACGCAATAGGAAACACGTCTCACTCCCTCTGCTTCCAGACAGACAGACACTTGCTGCCAAACGATTTGTATCAGAGTGGGAAAGTTTGGAGTCTGAGCAAAACCAAAGCTGAGTTGTTTGAAAGAAAGTTCTGGTGTCCAAGTCAGCAACAGGTACCGCTGCAGAGCTGTGGAGAAGGGGAACGGAGCAGGAGTTTCAACTCCTTCCTCGTTTACAACCAGAGGAAGACATGTGGCAAAAGGATGTGGTTGCCGGGTTAATTATTGACACTTTTTTAAAATTATTGTTATTATCACAAACAGAAAAAAAATCTGATGTAATAGAAATCCTCTCAACATAAAAAAAAAAAGCCCAAACTCGTTTCAAATGACGCCGAGCTATCACGAAATATATAAACTGTCTGTATTACACAGAATATTAGTGAGCAGTTCTTATAACATCCATAAACTCTCAAACTTCCAAATTGTATCCTCAATCATGTGCATGAGTTTTAAATTGTTCCCTGTATAGTTGTTTACTCCTTGCAGTACCTGCCAGCAGCTCCTCCTTCCTGGCCTTCAGGTTTGACCTTTGCCAATTCCAAACTCACCTCAGTCACCCTGGGAACTCTGGCTGCGGCGCTCCTTCTGTCCCGATTTCTGCCTCTCCGTTCAGAAGTCCAAAATGGGCTTGAAACAGAGAGAGGGAACAGAACACTGGAGAGGAGAGAAGCAGAAGAGACTGAGGTGAAGGAGAACGCCCCATACACTCGCTCTCACCCCCCCACCCACCGTTCTTTTTTTCTCTCTCTTTCTCTCCCTCTCTCATCTCTTTACCTAGAGAAAACCGGTTGGGTCGGTCCTCCCACAAACACTGAGGCCCGGGCAAGTTCTCCCTTGATATTCCTGTTCTGCTGAAATCCAACAAAACCGGTTAAACCGGCTCCAGGAAGCCCGGTTCCAGGAAACAGAAATATCCAATGTAGGCACCAGTGACTGCTTATCTAAACCAAGAGTTATTGTTTTCCTGCATGCAATACTGCCCCCCACCCACCCACCCCAAAAAAACCAACCAAACAAACAAAAAAATAAAAACTGATGTGACAATAGAATTGACTAAATAATTGAACTTTAATATAAATTTAGGAATAATAACATGGGCGCTATCTGCTGAGACAATGTTCATTGTCCTGATATAAAATGAAGCAAATGTCTGTGGAGACGCTTCAGGCTGCAGTTTGAAGCAGTCACAGACGGCTGTGACACTACTGGTATGTGAGCATGCGGCCAAGCAGCAGACGCCTGCAGTGGACGGTCTGTTGCCACGGAGACGAGACACCATTCATTTCTTGTGTGATGTTAAAAAAAAAAAAAAACTCGTCTTCCTGATTCCGAAAACAGATTCCTCACGACCGGCTCGACTGGACTGAGCCAGGCATCTTTATCGTCGCTGTATGACCTGCCACTCCCTTGTGGGTTATGGCGCCGCACACGCCTAAAACAATGGCTGGACTGACGTGTTCCTCGCGTCTTTAGGTCGCTGCTTTTCATGCTGAAGCCTGAGAAGGTCTTAGGAAACATTCGAAAAGTCTTTCAAGAGGTCAGGAGATTTAAAATCAATTCCAAGAGCAGGTTCAGCTTTGGATTTATTGGAACCAACATTGAGAGCAGAAAGACTTCATGACACGTACAGGCTGCTAATTTATCATATGGCAGCGTAATACCAGTCATGACGTCTATCTAAACAGGTGTTTTCACATTCAAGTAGCTAATTTGTCTAAAAAGAAAACTTTCAACTATTTGACCCGACCTGCCAAACATCACATGATGTAAACACAGAGCTGCAGGTGTGGACCATGGCTCCCGGAAGAGAACAAGCAGATCGTACTATCTCCACCATGACATGCTACGTCGACTCAAGAGGTGGAACATGAGGTTGTGTGTGTGCATGTGTGTGTGTGGGGAACAGATGAGATGAGTGTTTCAACCTATTCTTCTAGGAATCCAAGACATCAGGCGAAGAAATCAAAGGGTCGGGGAGGTGATCCAGGAGGCTAATTCTGAGAAATCTGTGGTGTAACTCTTCTTATTGGTCACACTTAAATGCTTCGGATCATCGAACTCATTTTAATGCAAGGCACAGAAAGCATCTACAGGCACAGGAAGCATTTTTCAAATAATTGTTTTATCTATTGAAGTCAAATAGCCAAACAAACCAACCTGGCCCTGTGTGAGAGAGTCTTTTTGTTCTGTTGTGAGTTAATTGAGATTAATCCCTTTATTAAATTGAGTTTAACTTCCCCTCTGACATGATCAGTGCCAGACCTGTAGAACGATAAAGTCACTTCAGCGTAACCTGTCTGGAATAAAAGATGTCAGAAAAGAGTCTAAAATACTCCCAGTAGCAACATACATGATTTTATTCAATTGTTTGTTTGAAGATTATTTTCAAAAGGTATTTTTAATCTAACTAAAGAGGCTCATCAAAGCATATGTTCTAATTTACTGAGATGTACCTGCATATTTATGTATACTTAAACTTTATTTCACACAAAGTAAGATCGACTGACAAGACTGTTCAAGTTGGAGCCGAGAACTTTTTTTTGAATGAATTCACACGGACCCAGCAGACCTTTTCTTGACGTTGTTGCTGAGCCTCTTTCCTCGTCTTAAGCAGCTGTGGATTTTTATGAACCGACTGAAGAAATCATTTCAGTCATCTCAGCTCTGTTGTCAATGTCAAATTTCTTTGTGCAGCATTTTACAGCAAGCAGATTGACACCATAAGAACAATGAAATTATTGATAGAAGTTAAAAATAGGAACAAACAAGAAAACATGCAAGGAAGACATCAATAAAATAATTATTCAGTTTGAAAAAAAAATACAAACGATGTGAAAGAAATAGAAAAATTGAGATATGAAGCTCTATTTCACTGAAAAGTTAAAGAGAAGAGGTGGGCCTGTAAAAGAACCTGGGCGGCTCTTATATGGATCAGCAGATCAACCAGTTCGTTGATCTTCGTCTTCTTGTGGACGTTTGACATCCTTTAACCGTGATGACACAAGACCATTGACACCATTGAAAGCCGGGTGCAAAATCTTCACATGAATTCTGAAACAAGCAGAAAGCCGCTGTGGTGAAGCCAGAACTGAGCTCACATGTTCCGCTTCACTAGATCCTGTCAGCAGACGAGCAGGAGTGTTTTGTACGACCCGGAAGCTGGTGAACAAAATGCAGAGATTTATGACAGGAAGGTGACTTTATGAAAGAAAAAAAAGAACAGTTCCCGAATGGTGTTGGAAATACCTGACCTCCCAAAGAACATAATCTGTTTTTTTATTGTCAAGGCGGAGGAAGTTTGAGTTCATCCCAGCCTTTAGGGAAGCAAGACAGACCAATAATGTCTTTCAGTGTAGCTGTTCTTAATGAATGGGCAGATAGACTAGATAGTTAGTTCTGATTAATCTACAGTTTGCCAGTTTTGCTAGTTTTTATTAATTAAATGTTCAGTTTCAGTTGCGTTTTTATTATTTATGGACGTCGTATTAGTTTTTCATACATTGGTTAATTGTTAAATGCAGAATTCAAAAAGGTCAAAGAATTGTATTGTGATCATGCAAACATCACTTGGGTTGGGCTTCGCAAGTACCATCAGTTACAACATCAGTTGTGTCTGGTGTTGAAGATAAACAGGTTAAATGAGAGCTGGAGTTAGCAGCTTCTTCTCTACCACCATCATCATCCATCGTTTCCTCATTCAGAGCATTCCTTGTCAAAGAGTTGCTCTCCTTCTGCGCTGACAACCTCAGCAGTGCGGCACTCTTCATAGTTTCCTCACAGTCACTTCTTCAGTCTTTAGACCCCCGACTCTCACCTCGGCCACCGCTCGTCCCTCCTCTAGTCTGAAGAGTTCAGACTATTGCGCCTGCCAGCTTCTGTGTTCTCAGAGGGGATTAAGGACGACTGGCTTCTCCAGTCATTGTTCCAAAATTCTCTGAGGGGGTTGAAGACGACCCTCCTCTGTCCCTTGAATGGGTCGGGGACAATCTGCTACTTCAAGATGTTACAAGGTTACAGCCAGTAACCCCAGAGGCTGTAACAAAATTCTCCTGTAATGTAACAAAATTCTCCTGTAATGTTCCGTTTTTGGGTTTTAATCTGATGAATCACCGTTGTTAACAGGCACGATCTGGTCAGTTGTTCACACGCTCTTCTTTTGGTGTTTATTAATCATCCCTTGCATACTTGTCCCTCACCTCACCAATTCTTTGTTTGACAGCTGCAGCCTGTTTTTTATTAACCTGACCTGCATTCCAGTCATCATTGCGTTTAGTGTCTCAGTTCTACTTCTCATTGCAATTCTGATAAAAACATGGTTAAAGGGTTGATAGAAGAGTGATCTTGTGACAATTTCCTGAGTTTCAGAAAGAGCAGAAGTTTTTTTAAAAGGAAAATGTCCAATTTCATAGCGTTAAATTACAAATTCTATTTTTTTTAAGTCCTGTTTCACATATACAGCAATTTTATAACAAGTGAATGTGACATAGTGACTTGGTTGTGCTATGAAATGACACTCTGCCTGGAAAATACATGATACTGCCCCTTTAAACATTTAATTAATCTCATATTTTCAGATTCTAAAAAACTATTTGCTTCTTATACTGTATGAGATTTTACGATTAAATTAAAGGAAGAAAATGGTCAGTTTTGATTTTGTGAATTTTATTCATAAAGGGAAAGAGATTGTTTGGATGTAGGTTAAATCTGTAAAGACTGAAAGTGTAAAACGTAGGTGTAACTATCAACATTTGAAAGTTTCCCTGCAAACCAACGAACCAGGAGGAGTTGCCAACAAGAGAATCTGAAGAATAAATTCAAAAGAAGTCCTGGAAATAATGTTACAGTTTCATTTGCTTTCAGTGTTTTGAACCATGCGAGTGTAGCTCAAACCTGCAGTGTGGTAGCGTACGCCCAAGCGCAGGACAAAGTAAATTTAGAGGGTGTGTTTATTTTACGACTGTTCTTTGCTGTACTTTAGCTTTTATGGTTGGAAAAGTCATCCAGTGCCTCCTCATTGTTGCAATGATTATTGTAGTCCACAAGAGGGCACAGTGGGACCTGTAAGAACAGGAAAGCTTAACAATCCTAATGAGATATTAAATGTTCTCGACATGTCAGCTCTGGGAAAAAACTTCCTCATTCTACCCTGAACAATAACGGGTGACTGAAAGTAGACACAGAGGAGGAATGCTGTTGAACTGCTGGAGTGGAAAGATGAGGTTTTGCTGAGTGATCGACTGAAAAATTTACATCTGAAATTTATTGCTATGAGGTTTCTTTCCTCTGGGCGGCTTCATTACTTCTCTAATTCCTCTCAGAAGTCTCAGCTCCCTGAGGATGAGTGTAATGGAGTTTAGAGCAAAGTAAACTCAAGAAACTTGAAGAGCATGAGCAAACAACAACACAGTCTTAATGGTATTAATGTGTGTGTTTCTTTCACACTTGTAAGCCGTCACAAATGTCACCTGACACTTGTCTCCATTGTTTCTGCCCTGTTTTCTCTCTCTTCTTTATTTCTTTGTGTATCGACTGTCATGGTTTTTAGGAGTGAGCCTCTGGCGCGGGGAACAATCACAAACAATCACAAGAAATAGGCTGAGAAGTTTACCTGCAGTTGTGTGCAGTAAAACGATTCTTCCAGGTAAATGACAACAGTCCAGGCCAACATGGCGGAGGAAGAGGAAGTTGAGCTT